TAAACAAATATTTATTATGACTTCATTGTTGTTAATATTACAAGTAGCTATTTGTATTTTATATCTCTTACAGGTGTCAGACCTTGCAGAACAGTAATGAGTTCCAGTTGGATACATGACCAAAGTCTTCTTGAGTGGAATCAAGTGAAGGAACTCTTCTCCGATGATCTTGACACGAGCTCACCTGCAGCCATGCTCAAAACATTGACAAGCCTGAAGCCACAGCTGGGCAACCTGTATCCATGCATGGTCAAGCTGCTGAGTGTTTATGCTACAGTCATCCTGTCAACATCAGAAGTGGAGAGGGTTTTCTCAAGAGTGAAGCTCATTGTTACTGACCACAGAAACAGACTGAGTGTGAAGAACTGCAACAGGCTCTTGATGATAAGCATGAACACATCTTCCACAGCTGACATTGACATGGACAAAGTTGTTGCAAAATTCCTGTCCAGGAAGAACAGGAAAATCTGAGACTGTACAAAGAATACAATGATTTATATCAACACTTGGTTATTTTTAGTTTTTATTTTATGTCGAGGTTATGTGAAATAACTGTGCTCTTTGAGCCTTACTTGGAAATCTGTCATTGCATGCCCCTTTCGTAATAGGGGTGCCCTTTTTGAAATTCAGTTGCCCTGCCCTTTTTGAATCCTGGGGGAAACTCTATCTTTCCAAAGGTAAATGCATTCCTATACCATTACACAGTATCACAGGTATACTACAGCATAAATTAACATGCATAGCATGAAATATATGTGACATAAAGGGGAAAATAAATACATACCGTTGCAATGTTTCTCCTAGTCTGCGTCAGTCCATGAACCATTTGATTTTCCTCCCATTTGATATTGCCTTTAGTTTAATACTGTAGTTAAATGAAGCAAGTCTAGATTTTCCCCACAATCTTCAATCTCAAAGGGGCTCCATTTCTATTTAAATTGTAGTTTAACTATCAATTTGTAAGACTAGTCCTGATGACTTTTGTAAACAATAATTCACAACTCCTCAAAGCTTGTAGCTAGTCCTGCATGAAGTATGTTTATATTTCTCTCCATTACATTCAGGATCAAACTGTAGCAAACTAAAACACTATGCCCTGGTTCAGCCTTCAAATGCTAAGTATCAGTGAGGACTCTCATCACTGAATGTCTACTTGTGTCACAGTTCTGTAGTCTTGTGCTAGCAATCTGTTCATGAATTCAAAGTCTGCTAAGAGGTCCTCAGGACAAAAAAACTATCGCCATTGATCCCACAAACAATGACATCTGATAAAATGGCAAAATACAAAGGTCACAAATAGTAATAGGTGTCATAAGTGTTAATGACTAGTATTGTTGTCATGAGTCACAAAGCACTTCAAATAGTTATAATGATATCCATAATATCCGATTTAGTACTCAAAAGATCGGTGAAGGTTTTATGTTATGTAATTGATGAAAAGGGTGAGTCACCAGCGGGATTGACCCAAAAAGTCTGTACTTAAGGCTAATAAACGTCCTGCTAGTACCCTGCCATGATATCACCGGAGAAATGGTGAAGAATTAAGGATTCACTGACTGACTGACTGACTGACTGACTGAGTTTGGTTTTACGCCGCTTTTAGCAATATTCCAGCAACATCACGGCGGGGGACACCAGAAATGGGCTTCACACATTGTACCCATGTGGGGAATGGAACCCGGGCCTTCGGAGTGACGTAGTACACACGTGTTGGTTCTTGGTAGGATTATAGGGCCCCGTCAACCAATACAGGCAACCAAATGGATCTAGACCTCTAACTGTGACTTGGTTGAATGGGTGACATTGTACAAATGCTCAAGACCTCGAACCTGGGTCTTCGGCGTGACGAGCCAACGCTTTAACCATTAGGCTACCCCACCGCCCCAATTAAGGATTCAATATTAACTAACAAATAGATAGTTTACATATGATTGATATAAATATATCATTCTGCAGAGCACCAGATAAGATTTAGCTCATGTGGGTACTGTACCCACTGTATTATTTTGGAAAGGGTATTACGAATGTTGAGTGGGTATTTCATTTTCCATTACCCACTGCTTTCAAATATGTGCGTATTTCAGTCATTTTACTCACCTAAGTATTGTGTCATTGAGTAAGTTTACTAAGCAGGTATGTTCTGCCTTATGTCATACCTAATCAAAACCAACTTAAATATAATGATTTCATAAAAAATCACTCATCCTATACCGACAGTACAACACTAGTCCTATACTAACAGTACAACTTGATAGCAATCGATGTCTTTTTCATTACGCAAGCGATTTTCATTATTATATATTCCGTACGCATTTGTTTTAAACTTTTTGTGTATCTAACATTTTAAATGCGTAATTGGTACGCTTAATTGGTACGCAACAATTATTTTTCAATGCGTAATTGGAAATTTTCTATGCGTATTTTACCTGGATACGCAGCTTATCTGGGCCTCTGATTCTGTACACTTAAGGTATGTAATTTGATAGCTTCTTTATTAAACAAAGAAACAGAAAATAACTATCGCTGTAATTTTGACCTACAAAGGTAATACATCAAAAGAAATTTAAAAACATTAAGGTGTTGTCAGTAGTAAGCATAACAATCGATAGTTTCAACAGTTATAAATAGAACATATCATATGTCAGAAAAAAGTTTTGATAGTGTATTAATTTATAGGAATTGTAAAATTATACTCACTCACTCTATCTGAGTCTCCAATGGAGGAGGTGAGGTGAGGTGAGGTGAAAGATTATTTCACTCACATGACGACGTGCATGTGTGTGTATGTGTGGCTGCTTGTACTAGCCCAGACTTAAGCTGGTTTTATAGTGCTAGCTCACTGAGATACCATGCCGCAGTTAAGCATGGATACCCCACTCAGACACATTATATTGACTCCGAGCTGACCAGTCCTTGTTGTACCAATTAATGCCGAGCGCCAGGCAGGGATAAAAAAGTACCATATTTTAACATCTTTTGGCATGACGTGGCCAGGGATTGAAACTGCGACCTTCCACTCTCCGGGCGGACGCTCTAACCACTACACCACAGAGGCGGTTCCAACAGATGAAAATGGACAATATTCGCATCACTACTTCACATTGATCAATAATTTATCAAGCCTTTAGGTTGGTTTCATATCAAGAATTATAAACAATCATGATACAATTGCAATAGGGAAAATACCCCGTAATTACAAATGTGTGTCAATGGTTGCTTGGATTTGAACTGTATTTCATACAAGGCACATATGAATTTCATGACAGTATTTGACATAATATACTCTTTAAAAAAAGCAGGGGAACAGGAACTCTCAATTTAGATAGGAAGTATAAGTATTGACAACTTTTCAAAGACAGACATCTTATGAACACACCACCATTTCTCTTTATCAGCATCCCTTAACACAACGCATGGGATGCATGTCCACAACACAGTAGCCCCATACACGTGCATGGGGTGTCATTCTTGATTTGGACGGTTTTCAAAAAGGTCGATAAATCACTGCAGACCATATATTTTGACAAACATCTTGTATCACACAGTTGTTAGTGTTTGTTTCTAGCCGTTTTTAAAAAAAGAAAAGAAAAAGAAAATCGTACACATGCAAATTTCACGTCATACACCATTCATCTTTCAAGAGCGATTACTGTACAAACAACTATGGTCATAAGGAAGTGCAAGTGGTGATGCACTAGAATACATTTCTCTTCATATAACAATAGTTTCAGATACTATATTTTTAAGATCACTGCATCAGAATTCATCTCGTTATATTATTGGGTACATTTTAACTAAATCACTGGTAGGGGAATGTGTGCACTGCACAGTTGATATTTCCGGCGCTGTATATGAGACAGTTACACATGGTAATCTTAATCCCTGTGTATAAGACAATGCCTGGCAAAAACAAATTAGAACTGAATAGGTAAATAATCTTGTCTAGTAATGTTTAATTGTAAATTTGACGTCATTACTGACAAAGTCGTCTTCTCGTGTCTATTTCCTCATGTGAAGCGATACAATGTCGTTTTCTTACCCCCTGAAAAAATGTTTGACGAAAATGTAACCCGTCAATAAGCCGAACCCCTTCTATAGACTGCTATTTTTGGTACTCAAAATTCGGCTTACCTAGGGTAATATATGGTATATGCCTGTGCTAGACCTGAATTACAACCAGTTAATAGTACTATCTTCCCAGCACACCATTTCAAAGCTGAAAATGGATATCCCAAGAAGCGCACTGACTGAACCAACTAGTCCTTGTGTTATCCCTTAATACCAAGCATCAGGCACAGCAACAACAAGTACAATGTTTTAAAGGCACAATGTCACACATTTTTTTACAATATTTTGGCCTGTATTATATTTATTGGGGCATATGCACTCACTTTAGCTTCCCATTGATGTAATAAAAGACTTATTATCCCTTACGACTTGCCTGAAATCGATAATTGAAACATCAAGGCGAACCGCTTGCCAAACAGAGAACACTTGCCATATATGGGATGTAAAAAATTGTTCTGTACATCGAAAACCACCGCCGTTGTCAGTGTTTGCCGAACTGGTTTCAATCACACGTTGTGTGAAGGATATTTGTAAAGAGCACTCCAAGGGACATAACTCTATGGGGTTCACTTGAAATAATGTTTGTCCGGTAGAGGTCGCGAGAGTCGATTTAATGCAACGTTGTACTAATTCATATGAACTTTTTAATTAAATATTGAAATCTAAATACGTAATTTGTTTTTTGAATAAATTACATGGTATCTTCCCTGAGGGCTGATAGTTAGTATTATTGAGAGGAACACATTATTTATTTTTAGAGAAGTGTGGTGTGAACTAGTGCATTTAATCTCTCTTGCTTTTATTTGACATGCACTGGGTTTGAACCTTTTCTTCTTGAGGTGAACACTCTATCCTGTAGACCATTCAGTCCAAATGGCCTGAAATTCTGTTGACAGACACAGACAAGAGAGAATCAAAGTTATCAGACCTACCATCCCCAACCATTGTTACAGAAGCCATGTTCGCCTCTGTTGGTCGTGTTGGATACGCAGGTGCCCCTCGTTCAACAGGCCTCACAGATGCAGTATTAGAGACACGGCGCTAGAGACACATCACTACAAGACTGACAACACTGAGGGTGGATGCGGCGTCACAGACAACGTATGCAGCAGCAGCAGTCAGTAGGTACATTCACAGTCGCAGGCCTGCAGATATACATACAACACATACCACAACAGTCAGAGCCAGAACACAGAAAGGGGTGGACGAATATTTGGGTTTTAACATCGAGTACAAGATTCTCACACTTATACTGTGTCAAACATGCATGTGTGTGTGACTGATGATACTGGTCCAGTGAGTGAGTTTAGTTTTACGCTGCTTTTAGCAATATTCCAGCAATATCACGGCAGGGGACACCAGAAATGGGCTTCACACATTGTACCCATGTGGGGAATCAAACCCGGGTTTTCAGCGTGTCGAGCAAATGCTTTAACCACTAGGCTACCCCACTGCCCTTATACTAGTCCAGATAAATGCCAGCTTCATACAGCTAAGTAACCGAGGCACCATGCCATAGCTGGACATAAATACCTCACTCAGTCACAGCACACTGACTCCAAGCTGATGATGAGTCCTGGATCTCTGCCGTTAATGCCAAATGAGTGATCGAGTGAGTGAGTTTGGTTTTACGCCGCCTTTAGCAATATTCCAGCACCATCACGGCGGGGGACACCAGAAATGGGCTTCACACAATGTACCCATGTGGGGATTCGAACCCGGGTCTTCGGCATGACGAGACAACACTTTAACCACTAGGCTACCCCACCGCCCCCCAGTTAATGCCAAAGGTCAGGCAGGGTAACAAGGAATCAAACCACTGCCTTCTGACCTCCAGGCAGACTGAGACAGGATCATGATACAGCCGAGCACAGTCATGACAGTGTCTGTTTCACAACTGTCAAGTTCAAGAATGTATATTGCCATTAAAACAGTACAAAACAAGCTTTACGTTCACAAAGTAATACATCCACCAATACTTTACACATGACATTAGAACCAGAAATCAACATGCATTAAACTTAACATAGTTTTCCAATGTTCTACTGACGCAGTTCTTATTACACGAAAGCAAAAAGGATCCAACAGTCTAACATCTGTGAGATATTTTGTCATATCAGTTTCAGAAGGTAGCAGACAATAGAGGTGCAACGATACAGTGATACAACATTGTATTCATATAAGAGGCACATGATACAATACAGATTCCCCCTGTAATGTGATAGAAATGATGCAAGTTATAGAAACACATGAATAAAGACAGAATGTGTTCAATGACAAGCTTTGACAGATTCTCCAGCATTTCCCAGTTGTTTCTGTCCTGAAATATTCCATCTTAGATCTTTGCATGCATGTGTATGTGTGGCTGCTTGTACTAGCCCAGACTTCAGCTGGTTTTATAGTGCTAGTCCATTGAGATGCCATACTGCATGAATACCCCACTCAGACACATTATACTGACTCTGAGCTGACCAGTCCTTGCTGTACCCTTTAATGCCGAACGCCAGACAGGGACCAACAAGTACCATATTTTAATGTCTATTGGTATGATGCGGTCGGGGATCGAAACATGACCTTCTGCTCTCTGGGTGGACTCTCTAACCACTACACCACGGAGGTGGTCCAGATCTTTGAGAATTGTATAAACAAATGTTTCAGGGTTGTGATTTACCTCCAAACAGAAACATCAACTAATGAAACAAAAGTCTTGTAGAAGGATATAAATCTTATGGCATCTATTGTGATACATATCGTATCATGACCCAACTGTATCATTACACCTCTAGTAATAACAATAATAATAATAATAATAAAAATGAAATTTTAAGAGTAAAATTAATATTTTTATACTTATCCTGACTCATGCTTATTTGCTTGTCTTCTTCTTCTGGCGAACCTAGTGGAACACTTGTATCTCCCAATTGAAGTTCCCCTTCAATAAAGAATCACTCATTAGTACTCACCACGAGTTACCTCCCTTCTGTAAGCGCGGGAACGAGGGCGCCACCCAAGCCCATGTGCCTCACTCTCTCCTTTTTTGCTTTGAGCCCAACACTTTCTTTTTCCCGAGAAATCCAAAGTGTTAAGTGGGGAGGACGGGAGGGCTTACCTCATGAGTCAGGATAAGTATAAAAATATTAATTTTACTCTAAAAATTTCATATTTTTTTCTTATCCTGACTCATGCTTATTTGCTTGTAGAATCCTACGGATTAGGAGGTGGGATTATATATACTTTGGATTTTACTAATTAGTGATTTGAAGTGATATGATTGTAATAACCGTATGGGAACTTCATGAAGGCACTGAACTGAATTCCTGCTGTTAATATAACAGCTGCCTTTAAAGAAGGTTATTACAATTTACTGCATATAATAAAAGTATATAGAACATTAATTAAGCTAAGGCCATTAATGTGATAGTATAAACTGTTGATAGTTTATAATGAATACTTTTATAAGAACCAAAGTAGTAAGCTTACAATATGTATATATATAAGCTATAACAGAATTGTGCTTAAGGTATAAAGATAACTTAAGCTGTATAATAGTAACCAACTACTGATAGTTTGTTAACTTATACATGTTATGAAATGAACATATGACTGAGCTTAAGGAAGAACTTAAGCTGAACATATATATAATAGTAGAAACCCGTAAGAATTGTAGGTATATATATATTATGATATAAATCATAGTACTGAGCTTAAGATAATATTTTAACTTAAGCAAATATATATAGATAGCATGTAGCTATTAGTACTGTTATCAGATAAGTATAAAATCAACAAGATAGACTTATCTTCTCCGTGGAACTGTCAACTGTTGAGCGAGGACCATGGGACCGAAATGGTGGATACCTGAGACATCCTTGGTGGTGATATCTCTCAGATAGTGGTTGGCAAACACCATATCGGATCTCCAAAAACATCCCTCCATGATGGTATTCAATGAGCAATTTCCATGTAAAGCCAAAGTTGAAGCTAGTGCTCTAATTTCGTGAGGATTAGTAGCACTTGGAAGGTCCAGTCCAGCTGCCTTGTAGGCTCTTAGTATGACAGTTCTGATCCAAATAGAAATGGTAGTGCTGACACACTTCTGTCTGTGAGGCGTAGATATAGGGATAAACAATCTTTTGAATTTCCCTCTACTTTGCTTGGATCTTTGGAGATATATTTTCAGTGCATTACAGGGCAAAGTGATAAGTCCATCGTATCCTGCGGTCTAAGTATGGATGAGAGAGCTGGGACATGGAACAACCTGTCTGGTTGACCTGGTAGTTGATTTTTAAGCTATAAAATCCCAGCGAAGTCCCAGATGAGCGATGTTATGAATATCATCAAATCGTGTTCTCTCGTAATCCAAAGCGTGAATTTCAGACATCCTGGCGCAGTGGCTAGCTAGCAGGAATAAGGTTTTGTGGGTCAATGATTCATATGACGCAGATAACAATGGCTCGTAAGCCTCACTTGTGAGGTGTTGAAGTACCACATTTAGATCCCAGGCTGGCGCTTGAAACTTCCATTTCTGGTCTTCCAATCGAAAGGCACGTAACAAGGCGAGTAACTCCGGTGTTTTGGTCAATTTGACGCCCGTTCTCATTGTTATGACTGAACTTATGGCTGCAAGATAAGTGGACAGTGTAGATCCTTTTAGATTCTTAGTTTGACGTAGGAAACATAAGAAATCTGCCACTTGAGGATGTGTAGCAAATCTGGTGTGCGGATGTATCAGTAGATTGGAGCGTAGTGGGAGCTGAAGTACTGGTTTTCCGATTCCTAGTATGAGGTCTGGAAACCACGTTCTCGCTGGCCAGTAAGGCGAGACCAAAATCAGATCGAGGCTCTTCGTTTGACTGATTTTTAGCAAGACTTGTGGGATTAACGCAGGAGGCGGGAAAGCGTACGCGTTTAGTCCCTCCCATGATATGCTTAGTGCGTCCGTTGCCCAAGCTAACGGATCTGGCACTGGCGATACGAAGGTTGTCAGTTGATTGTTGAATCGGGTGGCAAATAGGTCTATCAGAGGAGATCCTATTTCCATGATTATCTGATTGAATATCTCTGTGTGGAGCATCCATTCTGTCGGCGACGGTTGGTGCGGCCGAGAGAGAGCGTCTGCTAACACATTCTTTGCTCCTGGAATGTGGCAGGCTTTGATACGTATGTTTAGACTGTCGACTAAATCGAACAGTTTGAAACATCGAGTGAGAAGATTCAGTGATCTTGTTGACCCTTGTTTGTTCACATAAAACGCCACTGTTGAGTTGTCTGTGTGAATCATTAACTGAGCGTTCTGTAATAGGTTGCTCCAGTGACCTATGGCGTTTATGACTGCTTGCATCTCTAGCAGATTTATGTGACATAAGCTCTCTTGAATGCTCCATAGGCCTGACGCTGTCCTGCCGGTAAGGTGGGCTCCCCAACCTTTTAGTGACGCGTCCACGTAGAGATGTGTTTTCGATTCTGGCTCTACTAAGGAGACGCCTGCGCAAACATTCAATCTCTTGGTCCACCAGAGTAGATGTGGTTTGATGTAATCTGGTAGACTGAACGGTAGAGGGTCCTCGAGATGGGCATTGATGAGGACTTGTAATGGACGCAATTGAAGCCTGCCTCTGAGTGTCAAGTCTTGAGCTGATGTGAGTAGTCCCAGTAGCCTCTGCCACTGACGTAGTGGTAACGGAGAGAGTAGGGCTTGGGGGATCAGTTGTTGTATCTTGATCCATCTGTCCTCCGGGACTACCATACGATTCTGCGCTGTAAGGAATCGTATACCTAGAAACTGCAGATCCTGCGTGGGCTCTAGGTCCGACTTGAGTAGATTTACTAACCAGCCTAACTGCGTTAGTAGCTTGATTGTAAAGTTCAGCTGTAGTCTGAGACGCTGTGGATCTGGATCCACCTGTATACCGTCGTCTAGGTAAAATGCATTCCGCAGGCCTTGACGATGTAGGTATGAGACAATAGGCTTGGTTACTCTTGTGAATATCCATGGGGCCAAGTGATTCGAAGGGAAGTACTTTCCATTGGTAGTGTATGCCGTCTAGCATAAATCTCAGATATTTCCTTGAACTGGGATGAATCGGAATGTGTAGGTATGCGTCCTGCAGATCTATACTTACCATGTAATCTAGTGGACGAATTAGATGACGGAGTTGAGGTAAATGTATCATGCGAAACGCTGGTGGTTTGCATAGAAATTCTCTGTTGAATGTGCTCATGTTGTAAATGAGACGATACTTCTCTTTGGAATTCTTTTTCGGCACTAGGAAAACTGGGGAGTAGAAACCTGGTATGATGTTTTGCTGATCGAGAACTTCTAAGGCCTGTTTGTTTAGTAGAGACTGAACTGTTTCTCTTAACATCGGAAGTTGTGCCAGATGAACGTTGAACCCTGGTGGGTTGACTGTTAACGGTGGCTTGGCCTTGAGTTGTAGACGATATCCGTACTGAAGGATGTTGGATACATACGGATCTTGAAGTATTCCCCAGTTTTCCCAGTGTAGTTGTAGACGTCCACCCACTTGAGAAGGTTGTACTGGGACGACTGGGGGTGGAAGACTCCAGTCGTTCCGAACCTGACTTTCATCGTTTAAATCCACGGGCACCTCTGGATGATCTGCCTCTAGCTGATCCTCCTCTGAACTTGTTGTACGGGCGACGAAAGGAATCCTTGGGATTATTAACGGCCGCTAATTTCTTATCCCGTGCTCTCTGTAGCCCTGAAAACTTGGACTTGCCCGAGTACCTCTGTGCTGATTGTTTAAAGACGTGCGCTAATGTATCCATAGATTTAATCATGAGTACTTCTCTAGAATCTTTTGATACTTCCTTGGAGACCTTGTTAATGTTGCCACCAAACAGTAAGGGTGAAGACCATGGAGCTGTGTATAGGGGCTCTGTGAATTGTTTATTCCAAGAGCAGGAGCCTAGTAATCCTTGCCGACGTGTCATGGTAGTAGTTTCAGTAAGTGCTGAAAGATGGTCTGTAAGGAATTGTTGATCTTTTTTCTGCATAAGTAGAGCTGAATAGATCATCCTGTCTTCCTCATCCGTGGAGTTCTTGAACTTGGTGATGAGAGTTTCGTTAACAGTCCTAGATCTGTTGAGTCCAAAGAACATCCTTCTGGAAATGGTATCTAACTGGGCCATTTTGCGATCGTCTACCCTATAACTTCTGGACTTGGAATCACTGATAAGTTTAAAGTTTTCATCAATCTCTTGAAAAAGTCTTGAAAAAGGGCTCCATATTTTGTCCATAAAAACTCTTGGCATTGAAGAATGGTAAATGGGTAAGTTGAGTTTTAGCAGATTTGGAGTAGGCTGTATCCAGTTTAGCAGGAACGGCTGCGATAGGATCCATAGGAGGCACTGTGATATGATCTACATCATCATCTAACATCAGGTAAGTTTGGGCTGTATCCTCGTTCTTAGAGGGAGAGGCCAGTTGTAATTCGTTTACCATCCAATACCTTATCTCAGCCTCTGAGAAAATGATACCATCGTCCTCCTCTGACGTATGGTCATATGTCGGAGTCCTCGATCTGTAAGAAGATCTATGTGAGGACTGAGGAAGAACAGACTGACGAGTGGCTAGTGTATGTAGACCTTGGAGAAGACATCCTTTGCGGAGATTGTGGGCTTCGTGAACGGTGATGGCTTCGCAGACGCTCTGGACTTCTCGAACGTTGAAGGCTACGCGATCGTCTTCTAGGCGATGTAGAATGACTTAGCCTTCGCGTCCTACGCGAATGTCTGGAGTCAGTGTCCGATCCGACATATGAGCGCTTGCTACGCGGACGCCCTTCGTGCATGACAAGGTTAGGGCTTCCACGGGTACTCGAGTACTCGAGGACGAGTCGGGTGTAGCTGGACTCGAGTCCATTTTCAAGGACTCGAGGACTCGAAAAGGGGAGATAACTCGAATTATTGACGTTGACGGACTGTCTGCCATGTGCTAAGCATGAGCGGCCGTTAACGTCTAATATTAAGAAAAAGATATAACTTTATTATCCCGGAGGAAATTCTCATACATCCAAACTGTCTCAAAATAAATATATACACAGTTCACAAAAATAAACACAATAATTACATGCTCAAAACGAATGCTATTTACAAATAAAACTGACATGATATAATTCAATTAACCACATAGGTAAAGAGGCTGAATAATTCTAGTTCTAAACACATCATGGTGATTCAAAATATTTGTTGCATTCACGAATACTTGATGGTATGAAAGACTGTCGCTCTGTTTTGAGGGAAGGTAATCTACAGCAGCGTCAGAAGGAAGTAGTTCAAAATGGTGAGATCAAATATGTCAACTATCAAATCTAATTTTAGCTGTCTTTTTGACTATACTCGAAATATACTCCAGAAATTTTGCAAGCAGTATTAACAATTTTGAAAAGTCTGTTTTGTTAAGATGAGACAGATCCCCATACCAACATAGAAAATTGTAGGTCAACACACTTTGAATAAAGGTTTGATAAAAACTGTCATTACGGTTTTGTCAATACCTTGACGATAATAATGTTCAGAATCAGAAATTAGGCCATTAACAGTGGCGCCATCTGCAAATTTCACAGTAAACAAGTCATATATTGACAAGTAACAGTCATTGGTATACAAAACGAAGAAGAGTACGGATGAAGGAACACAGCCATGTGGATCTCCAGTAGAGGTTGAGGGAAAAGAAGATTGATAGCCATTGACACTGACATACTGAGTTCTATGTACCCTGAATTCTTTAAGCCATCTGATAATGTTTTTATTAACACCTAGATTAAATAGTGTACTCCTAACACGGTGTGGCTGTATGGTATAAGTTGTTACAAGTCTGCAGATGAGAGTAAATATTATACATCGACTGAGATTTCACTTCTTAAAATGATTAGGTAACTATCTTGACAATTGATCGTTTGTTTGAAAGGTATGAATTTCGAGTACTCGGGTCCGAGTCGAGTCTCGCCCCTCGAGTACTCGAGTCCCAAAAAATGGACTCGTTGAAGCCCTAGACAAGGTGCGTGCTCGGCGAAGCGCTCCTTCTCCGTGAAGCCTCTTGCAAAAGGTGAGGCTCTGGCTCCTTCACGGAGGCGGCCTGGGATACCTTATGCAAAGAGCTCACTCCAGGCAGGGTTGCCCTTCGCGGAGGCGCGTCTATGGGCTCAGAGGCCCTACGCGAAGCCAAGGCGGGCTCTGAGGCCCTGTATGACTTAATATTGGGTGGGCTCTGAGGCCCGTGGCTCTGAGGCCTCTGTAAGCCGTAGCAGTCTTCCATCACCCTCATTATGTGGTTGATCAAGTCGTCTGAAGCGGTCTGCGTTGATGAGGGATGTCTCTCTGCAGAGGTGACGGGACCCTCAGATAAAATTTCTGGAGATAGAGTCGGCATCTCCGGTTACAACGAGAATCAAAGGAACATGGAGTAATGCAACTATGGCATTTTAAATGTGGATCGGTATCAGAATAACGTAGTTTACATTCTGTGCAATTTTTCATTAATGTAGCCTACTGAACAAACATGACGAACCGTGAATAAAACAGCAGAAACACAATTAATAATCAATGCAAATTGAATAATTATACTAGTACTACCTCTATACTAACGTATAAGAGGAACTAACTAAATATAATTAAAGGATATAGTGTGTTGGGAGACACAGGCGCTCTCACGTCCAGCTCACTGGGCGAAGAAGGAGAGAGTTAGGCACATGGGCTTGGGTGGCGCCCTCGTTCCCGCGCTTACAGAAGGGAGGTAACTCGTGGTGAGTACTAATGAGTGATTCTTTATTGAAGGGAACTTCAATTGGGAGATACAAGTGTTCCACTAGGTTCGCCAGAAGAAGAAGACAAGCAAATAAGCATGAGTCAGGATAAGAAAAAATATGTATTTATAAAGCACCTAATATCCACCATAGAGATGCTCAGTGGCGCTGTGACAATATTGGTGAAGGAAATAGTTCATATAACTTTACAGAAAGGCAGCAGTGAATAGATGCTGAATAGTAGACTGAGAAGCAGCAAAGATGGACAGACAAAATGAATGAGTGAAACCAGCAATACAGACAAAGACACAACACAACAATCAACACTTACCGTAGAACCCCATCCAGGAATCTCAACTGTTGTTATGGTTACCAGGGCTGTCCTGCAACAAATTCACAACTTTGGTTAGCGTCTTTAGCCTTTTCAGCGAGTGAGAGTATGGTTTTACACCACTTTTGACAATATTCAGTTAACATTGATTAATGTTGAAAGAGTGAGTGAGTTTGGTTTTACGCCGCTTTTAGCAATATTCCAGCAATATCACGGCAGGGGACACCAGAAATGGGCTTAACACATTTTACCCATGTGGGGAATCGAACCCGTTTCTTCGGCGTGACGAGCAAATAATGTTGAAAGCAATATCACGGCGGGGGACACCAGAAATGGGCTTAACACATTGTACCCATGTGGGGAATCGAACCCATTTCTTTGGCGTGACGAGCAAACAAGTGTAGAAGTGAGCAAAGCTCACATACCCCCGCTTCCAAGCTTGGGACATGGAAATGACTGATATTGATATATATAATGTGACAAGGATCAGCAGCTCACAAGACTTTCTCTTTGACTCTACTAAACTTTATATACATGTTAGATAATAGTTTTGGCATGTACTGATTACGGTAATAATTTATGGAAAATAGATTTTTTTGTGTTTTCCGTGGAAACCTGACATACAGTTGAACTTGACTGTCTCATGTTGCACACAATGGACGTAGATGAAGATTGCTATTTTTTAGCACATGGCATATCTGTGGGTCATGATTAACTTGTGTATTAAGTTTGGTGAACCTAGCATGTATAGTTTTGATGATATGCCGTGGTCAGGTAACCATCAAATACATTTTGCATGTACCTAGCATGAACCTAGCATGTAAACTTTAAGAGATATGCTCCGGACAAAATAATCGAACACATTTGGCACTAAGTCGTGTTTCCATGGAAACAGCAAAAAATACAATTTATATCTGGATCTAAACCCCAAAAGGCACATCTAGGGATCATGCTGGATATGTGTACCAAGTTTGATGAAGCTAGCATGTATAGTTTGGAAGATCTGCGCCGGACAAGATGACATCCTCATAGTCACAGCCTCAGTCGTGTTTCCATGGAAACAGCAAAAAAACTAAATTATGAAAAAACTTTAAAATAGCAAAAGGCACATCAATGGGTAATGATTAACATGTGTGTGAAGTTTGGTGAACCTAGCAAGTAACCTTTAAGAGATATGCTCCGGACAAAGTTTCGGGACGGACGGACGGACAGAATGAACGCTATATACCCCCGTTACTTCGTAGCGGGGGTATAATAATGTTGAAAGAAGACCGGAAGGAGTCTTTACACATGATACACACGTTGGGAATCAAACACAGATCTTTAGCACCATGAGTGGATGTAGTCAGTGTCTCCTAAGACAAAGGACTTCATTTGGTGTATGCCTCTGTTCACCCAGCAGTGAATTGGTGAGAGAGTGAATTTAGTTTTATGCCAGCAATATCATGGCGGGGGACATCCACAATGGGCTTCACACATTGTACCCATGTGGGGAATCGAAACCCGTGTCTTCAGTGTGACGAGCGATCGCTTTAACCACTAGACTACCCCACCGCCTCTATGTAGTAGGATAAGATAGTAATTTGAATGTTAACCTTCCAGCACTTTCCATCAGCTTGGGTAAGTATACTCCCTAGGAAGCTGAGAACAAAAATCAAGTGCACAGTAATACAGTGACCAGTGTAATATGGCTTGAAGCATTCTGTTGTGTGTAGATTTGGAGCATTATGAATATGTACTAGATAAATATACAAATATGTATTATTACAAGTTGATGACTACTTCTCCTGTGATAGTCACATGGTTGAGGATTTGTGCATGAAACATATGTACATCATCTTCAGCAGCAGCAGCACCAGCATCCATAGTGCCCTGTACAAAGTCGGAGTCATACCAAGAATGGACCTCTGAGACAAAACCACAAGCATGCTGAAGACGGCAATAGAACGATCAAGCCATCTCATCATGTCTAGTAAGATTTTCAGTGCTTCCACTGACAAGGTGTTGAACAGTCTCATTAAGTTCATTGCATAATCTTCATTCATATTTACTGTTATGATTATCATCATTCTGTAACCATTACAAGATTCTCACCGATTATTCAGGGTGTGGGAATGCCACTAGTGACAAGTTTGAATTGTAAACACATTTAACATTTAATAATGGTTATCAAGTGTATCATATCTTTTGAGAAAAATACCAGGGAGATATTCATAACTACGACTAGGGTTGGGTATTGCCAAAATTTTCGTATTGCGATATATTGTGATATGTGTCTTAACACATGGTTTATGGTAATTAAATTACTTCTTCCTTTCTTTTGAAACAATGCCACTGGCCACTGGCAGGACTCAGATGTGATTGTACAATTGAAAATGTTTCCAAATTGAAGACATCGCTCTAAAGTTAGGAACTCCAGAAAAAGCGTCTGCAGAGGCGTCCGCCAGTTTGGTTTGTTTATCTCTACATCGAGTGCCAGTATCAATCTATGTTTTTTATTTATATGGTTTAAAAGTCACGCAAATGCAATTATATGACCAATAAACATTCTCAAAACTATTAATGTATGATAATATAAAGGAAAAACAATGAATGTTATTAGTAGTTTTGACAACATCACGAACATTACCGAACATGGTCATGGAAATTGCTGATCGTATCGGGTGAACCGGTTCACAAAAGGTGTACCGCAATATATTGTATCATGAAGTTCGAATTGCAATATACCTTTTAACCGGTATTATTGCCCACCCCTAACTATGACATAGCGAGTTTTAGGGTCTTTAAGTAGGTGGGAGCGTTTTTTAAGAGAAATCCGGAGTGACCATACTTCCTTAAAGAACCTGTGGTAGGAAATGTCTCCAGTGTGATTATTGTAACAGGAATAACAACTTATAATAATAATAATAATAGCATATTTGTAACTCACTGTGTCAGTGCAATATCCAAATCAGTTCCAAAATTCCTGTAGCTCTAATCTTGCCTAAATCTTGTTTCGGTGCTGTAACATATTTACACTAACATCTCACCGATAAATTCAGAGTTCTCCCTCTTGTCCCCAAGACCCAAGCTGTTACAATCATTAACGACTAACAGTATAAAGAATTATCACGGCAGTGTGTAAAGTTTCTGATTGTATTTTGCTGCTTACTTGGATCATAAGAGCCTTAGTAACAGCTGGTGCTTTGTCCACAATCGTACACTTCACTGATCGAAGATGTTGTGGCATCCAAAGCATGGATGGGTCAATATCATTAAAACTTTCCATTGTGTCGACAGTATGCACACACAACACAGAAACAAGAAGGCGTTGTATGTATTGATTACCGCTACACAATAACTACACGTCATGGTATGTACTACTTAAAGGACGTTTACAATAAATCTGCCATAACATATGAGTGATTGAGTTTAATGCCACTTTTAGCAATATTCCAGCAATATCACGGCGAGGGACACCAGAAATGGGCTTCACATATTGTACCCATGTGGGAATCGAACGCGGCCCTTTGACCTGACGAGCGAATGCTTTAACCACTAGGCTACCCCACCGCCCCTCTGCTATAACAAAGGACAGCTTAACCACAGTCTTTATGGTCATAAGTTGGGAAAGTGGGACCCGATAAACAGGAACTGTAAATCCAACAGCGGCGGAAAAGTTTCCATGTGACTTTGCTTTACTGGACAGACTGACACCACTGATGTGGTGGCGCGTGGTCCTGTGCACAAAGCTCAGGTCACGAATCAGTTAAAGTTAAGCAACGTCGAGCTCAGACAGGCCTTGGATGGGTGACCGTGTTTGGCAGCTTGATTCCTGAGAGTTTCTAGGACTTCAGTCCTGCCCCACAACGAAGCACATGTGATGCATGTGGTCTAACCTTAGGCAAGTGAGTTTGTTCAAATTGCCTCTGTTCACCCAGCAGAAAATGGGTACCTGGTTGGGTAAAGTCATGTGACTATAACCTTCTAGCCCAAACAGGCAGCATGGGTTATCCGGGGTAATAAGAATCAGATTCTGATTAAGCACCGCAAGCAATCACTTGGTATTTGGAGACTGTGCGCTATAGAAGATGACTTATTATTATATTATTATTATTATCAAGATAGCAGAGAAAAGTATGCATCACGCAGCCCGGGTGAAAATCTCGTGGTGTACAGTCTCATGGAGTGAGTGAGTGAGTGAGTGAGTGAGTGAGTGAGTGAGTGAGTGAGTGAGTGAGTGAGTGAGTGAGTGAGTGAGTGAGTGAGTGAGTGAGTGAGTGAGTGAGTGAGTGAGTGAGTGAGTAAACTACCTCATCACAGTGTAGAGTGTGTGAGTTGGGTTTTACGCCGCTTTTAGCAATATTCCAGGAAAACTAAACATATCCACCACTGAATACCACCTGAATGTGTCAGGTCATGGGATGCCACTAGATTGAGTGAATTTAGTTTTATGCCACTTTAGCAATATTCCAGCAACATCGCAACAGGGGACACCAGAAATGGGCTTCACACATTGTACCCATGTGGGAATCAAACCGGGCCTTCGGCGTGACGAGCAAATGCTTTAACCACTAGGCTACCCCACCGCCCCTCTGCTATAACATAGGTCAGCTTAACTACAGTCATATGAAAAAAGGGTTTTCTTGTTTTCTTTCAAGTAAAATTTATAATCTAACCTGTATGGATGAGTTAATGAGTGAGGTAAAATGTATAGTCACACTGATAGTATTTCAGCCATATAAGCATGTATGAATGTAGTGGTAGTGAAATGGGTGCTAACCTGATTTTAGAAATAATCCAGCAATATCACAGTCGTGGACACCATTGGCTCCAAACCTTGTACCCAAGTAGGGAAGCGAACCTGGGTCTTTGGTGTGATGAGCTTTAACCACTAGGCTACCCCACTGCCCCACCAGTACAGGATCTCTAGGTAGTTGCAACTCGTTCTACTTCATATATTTTGAACAAAAAGTGTGTCTATGAATGAACTACAATAAGATGACTCAACATTTTCTCATACTGTTTTACCACCTGTAAACAGACACAGCCCAGCAAGTGAGTAATTATGCA